TATTTTTGTCATTTTTGGTAAAAAGTGATATTTTCGACTTCTTGTAAAAAACCAATAGTCTGATTGCTTTGATATTACATATATAGGTACTACATGTGGACCTCTCTCAGATTTGTTCATTTTGTGATGGTATCTTCAATTCTCTAATTTTGGTGAATATTTTGGTCATTTTTGGTAGAAAGTGATATTTTCGACTTCTTGTTAAAAACTGTAAGTCCGATTGCTTTGATACTATACATATTGTTCATTTTCTAATGATGTCTTCAGTTCTTTAATTGAAATGTGCATTGCTAATAGGCTGCTTGTTCAGTTTTATTGTTGTATCATTAAACAATCATTTACTTTCTCTTGTGTTCAATAGCAATCACAGGCAAGGTGTTTAATAGTTTTAGTTTTAGACTAACTTGTACTATCAATATCTTGTAGGTCCACCATTGGTCGAGAGTTATGAACAGAATGCCTCACAGCTTGTGCCTGAACCAGAAAATCTAGCAGTGAGTAATTTATAATCAAGGAAACTATTTTAATTTTAATGAATATTCAGTGTGACCAGATGTCATTGTGTTATCAGCATTAAATGTACCACTGAACAAGTGCTAAATTCTCCATTTCTTCCCCCAACTTAAACAGTTGTTACTTCTCTTTTATTGGTCATCTGTCGAAAAGCATGTTTTTGTTCTTGTTATGTCAGAATGAAACAACTTAGATTTGTATAGGTTGAATCAGTCTCTCATGCGTTACCCACATTGCTTTATGGATACCGTGATCTACAAGGTGGAAGGCTAATCCTTTTACTATGGTAACGGCCATCTAAAGAATGCCCTCTGGAGTTGATCCTGCAAAATCTCTATATAGTAAAGGCAACTACAGTAAAATCGATTGTTTGAAAATGAGATAATTCAAAGAAGAGTTTTCAGTAATTTCCTCCGAACTAAATGCATTGTTACTTAATAGTTGGTTAAATCAGATGTGGAGTCTCTAGTGACTTTAATATACAGCTACCAGAATAAAATGCATAGAGCAATATCTGACCAATTACCTAGTCTGCAAATATCAAAGAAGCTGATGGGAGTTGTCCACCAATAAAAAAAATGGTCTTTCTAAAAAGCTTTGCCACTAGTAGAAATTGGTTGCTGATATTATAAGATGTGAATGCTATTTGCCTGGCTAATTCATGTATATATTTAGTGGCATATTGACTACAGTTTATAATCAGATTGGTCTAGCCTTATGATTTTGTACTACTGGATTCTGCCGTAAATTCGCCCAGGGCCATTAAACGGCAGTTCAGGTTTAAAAAAAAATAAATTGGGACCAAGAAACCGCCCAGGGCGATTTTTCGGCAGTTTTTTAAGGTGTTATTTTAATCTTTTCTGGTGCCTAAAAGTTTTGTCATAGTCATTGACGCCTATTAATGGTTAGCGTGAATGGGTAAGCTTCGTTTTGGCAATGAGCTGTTATCACTGTAAATAATGTTAATTATTCTTCAAATGCTCAGTTTATCTTTTGAAAACAACTATTTTTTTATTTAAAAACAAATCATGCCGCTTTCCCATCAAAATCCAAGCCAAAAGATCGTACAACAACATCAGCAAATCTCTTCCATGCTGGGTTCAATAACATTAACATATTTAAATATGTTATGGTGATTTAACACGTTGGCATCATGCATCGTTTTCATTGGTTAATTATTAATTTGACCTGTCAGGTCAGGTCAAAACATGGCGGATATTCATTTCTACAGCATCGAGCGTTGAAAATACGATTGGAATCATACGATGAAATAAGTTGAAATTTATTTGCATTTCATAACAATTCAACGAATTTATTTTTTGCACGTTATTATAATCATTACTAGGTAATAATCAACAATTGTAAAACGCAGCATGACCGGATTGCGCTACCACGATCATTCGCTACTAAGCAATGCAGTTGTGGTCGTTGTTATTTGAAACTTCTTTTAGAATATACTTTCGCTACTAATAAAATGAAACAAAATAATTGTATTTGGCGCACGATGTTCGTTAATGTGATTTTTTTGGAGAAAGATGCGCTGTCTACTTATTAATCCAGCTAGGAAAAAATGTATACAGCTTTAGTTTCTTTCGTTTTGGGTGGTCCAACTGCCAGTGTTGAAAGTCTGCGTAGGTGGATTTTTCAATGAAAATATAAGCCTCCTAAAAATATTTCATGATAATTTTTTTGAAAATTTGAACCCCAAATAAGGGCCCACCAGCTGTGAAACCGCCCAGGGCGATTTTTCGGAAGAATCCGGTATAACTAACCTTACCAAACTTCACAGAAATGTTTGCTGTCAATGACCTGCAACTGAATATGGGGTATCTCCATATGATGGATATATTGTCACTTGCTAAATTTAGTTTGTTTCATTCATCAGATAAACATCTGGCACTGCTATATATTGTTTTTTTTTTATATTAATACGTTAGTTAATCAGCAAATCCTTCTTTCTGCCAAGGCGTGCAGTTTGGATACCACATTTTAAACCAAATACTCCATATTTTTTGAGTACCATCTGATTGACCTACAGTGAACCCATGCCATGCTATAAAATATTGATATTCCATGTTAACACATTGTCTGCTGAGTAGCACCTCCATGGTTTGACACCTGTGATGTGTCCAGACAGTTTAGCCCCAGAATAAGCATAGTTATTAGTAATACTATTTATCTTTCAAAGTTAAATGTTTTTTTACACTCATTTCATTTCACCCATAAATGTTGTTTACATGTAGAAACTTAAAATATTTCCAAAAATTCAGAGTTTTATCGGT